TTATGGACAGGGAACCGAAAGGACTGTGTATCCCAGGGTGTGGTTAAAGAAGCAGGTGCTAAGAACATAGGTTAAGGAAAAGAGATGAACAGAATAAAATAAAGAGAAATGAATAACATTAAAATAAAAAAAAATAAAAAAGTGTATTTAAACTATTTGTAGATAATGGAATAATTATTAGTAAGAAAAAGATGGAATTATGCAAAAGCCTCATAAAATTCTTAGGAGTAGAAATTGGAAACGAAAGAATAAAATTACAACCACATATAGCCAAAAAAGTTTTAGTTATGCCAGATAAATTAGACAACACTAAAGAATTACAAAATGGAATATTAAATTATGCGAGGAATTTCATAAAAGACTTAGGAAAGGTGACAGGATCACTATACTCAAAAACAGGAACACATGGACAAAAGACTTTTAATATTGAAGATATAAAATTAGTTCAAAAGTTAAAACATTCTTCTAAACGATCAATTCGTTCTTCTAAAGATTTTAATGTCTGTTCTTTTGTACTTACAATTGTTTCTATTATTTTAATATTAAAATTTTTATCAATGCATCTAATGCAACCTTCTATATAACAATTCATGTATTTGGCTCTTCTGTCTTTACTTGGGTATCCTGTGCAGTTAAAGCATCGTTGACTGTCTAATCCTTTTCTTTTACAGAATTGATGATCACATTGTATATTAACAAAAGTATAATCCTTTATATTTAGATCTAGCTTTTCTAATCCTATTTCATTTATTAAAGTTTCTTCTTCTGAATCAGATGAGTCTTGTTTTCTTCCTTCTATGGCATCTATGCTTATTACCGAATATATGCTTTCATTATCTGACATATCATCTACAGTTATCAAGGTTTCTTGGAAGTCTTCTATGACCTGAGCATTTCGTGTTCTACTGTTATTTCTACATGGACAAGTGTTTGCTAGATGTTCTTCACTTCCGCATGTAAAACAAGATAGTCTATTTTTGTAAATTATGTTATTATTATGTTTTCTTATGTGTTTATCTTTATTTAGGTAAGGCTTTCTTGCAGTAGATTTTCTTAAATAATACTTTTTCCTTGGTTTGTATTCTTGGTTATTTTGATACGTTCTTCTGTATTTTCTTTTTGGTGTACTTTGATCATAGCTTTGTGTTGTATAAATATTTTTACAAAAACCTGTCTCATTTTGTTTTAATTGTTTTTGTATTTGTATATTTGTACATTTTTCTTGTAATATTTCCATAGCATGTTGTATTTTGTCCTATAGACCAGTTAGCATTTAGATTTTGCATTACTCCCTCTCTTTTATTCCATCTTTATTCTATTTCTCTTTCTAAGGCTCCAGGGAGTTTGTTTAAAAGCTTCTTTCTCAAGCTTTGGTCAAACGCATTACCGCTTATAACGCAATAGTAAAAATAGTCTTTTAAAAAGTTCTTTATATGGCTCCAATTTGTTATACTAAGTTGTTCTAATTTTATTAGTGCATTCTTTTGTAACACTACTAATCCTCTATTTGGGTCTTCCCCTGCTATTAGGTTGTGTATTTTATTAGTAAAATTATACGGGTTTTGTCCCATATTTACTAGTTCTTGGAATTCTTGAGGGCAAGCTACTTTATATGCTTCCCATACTCCTTTGATTAATTTTCCTAGAACTCTATGCATCTATACATAGTTTCTGCATCTGTTTCAATATAATGGTGTATATAGTCTGCTATTACTATTCCTTTCCATACATCTATTACTGAGTTCCATAATTGAGGATCATGAGCCGCTATATTTAGTATTTTTCCTCTATCTCCTCCGTCTTGGAGTTTGATAGGGGCTTCTATTGGCATTCTTATTCCTATAGGTCTAACCATTTCTGGTTTTGTGGCCGGGTCTTATCTAAATACATGGTGTCGTCTATAGTATATTCTACTGGTGGTATTGGGGTTGTCTTTTGGAAGGGACTTGAACTTGAAGAAGCGATTTCCATAAATTCTTTTAAACTGCGTGTTGTCTCGTCATCGCTTTCTTCTTGGATATCTTCTTCCTGTCTATACCCATAATTATCTGTTCTAAATTTGCATTCTTTAAAGTATTGTTCTACTATAGAGAATTTGATTCCTCCTACTATCCTGTCTATACCCATAATTATCTGTTCTAAATTTGCATTCTTTAAAGTATTGTTCTACTATAGAGAATTCGATTCCTCCTAGTTTACACCCTTTACATTTAAAGAATGTTATTTTATTTAATTGGTGTAATTCTTTTTCCCTTGCTATTGCTATGTCTACTTCATAGTCGTCTTCTTTTATGCTTTGAATATTCATTCCTTCCATATTAATGGTTGTCTCATTATCATCTAAATCTTCATCTATTTCTTTTTGGTCGGTATATTTATAGTCTGTAAATCTGATTGAGGTTTTGTCCTTTATTATTGGTATATGTAAGGTGGTCATTTGGTCTTAAAACTTCTTTTTTACAGAATTTTTCTAAATTCCATTCCCTACCTGCATATTCTTCTGAGTCTATTTTTAAAGGTTTCATTAATTTTATCCCTTTGTTTCCCATCAATCCTACTGTATCGTCTATTTTAATTTTAAACTTGGAACTATTGTTAGAGGCTAATTTACCTATGAAACCGACGCATATTAATAAATTATTTCCACAGTTCATTTCTTCGTAACCTTTAGTTTGAATTCCTATTTTTATGTATTTTCCAAATTCATTTGAATTTATCATGAAGTCTGGGCTACAGTAAAAGATTCCTCCATTGTTAGTCATGTCTACTTCTGTTAATCCTATTATGGATCTTTTTTATTCTGACCATCTATCATCGTATAATGTAATTAGTACTTTAGTGCCTAGGTTTTTTCTAGTTAAACCTTTAAGTCCAATTACTACCAATCCCATATGCATGAGATTCATTCGTCTTTTTGTATTTCTTTCATAGATTCTGTACTAATTAAACTTATATTTTCACTATCGTTTTCTGATACACATAACTGTTCTTCTCTATAATGTTTGTATAAGTGTGTTGTTGAAGAAAATATTCATGCATTATACAGTACTTATGGATTTAGTAGTCTTAATCTATTTTGTTGAAAAATTTCTATATCTTTATCTACGTCTATTATTTCATCTAATTGTTGACTGCTACTAGGTCTGGGCGAATTCATTATTCTTGCTAACATATTGTTTCCTAGTCTATCTTGAGAGAAACTGGCTCTTTGTCTTTCTTGGGAACTTCTATTCTTGTTTGAAAAAATGTCCATGTTTTGTCCTTTTTTGTTAATTTTGGCCCATCCTTTTGGGGGGTTATTTCTATATTTTTTAGTTGTTTGTTGACTTCCATTGGGCATAAATTCGAAAACAAGAACTCTTTCTCGGCCTTTAAATAAAATCTCAATGTGGCAACTATATATGTTAACATGGAAAGTTTTGCTTCGTCGATAAATTCTTTTTTATTTGCTTACTTACTTGAATTTATAACCCTTTACGCAATAAGACGACCATTAAGGTTACCTTTATAGACTCCTTCATAACCTCGCTTTGTTTGAGTTTCGATTCTAAAGTGAGTTAGTCATTTTTTTAATAACAACAATAAAAATGCTTATATGCTTATTAAGAATAATCTTTGAAAATAACAGAGTAAATTTGTAGGTGCAATTATTGATACAATATTTTGATTATTTTAGGAAAGAAGTAATAGTTATTGATTTTTAGAGGAATTGAATAATGAAACAAGGGTAAAGAAATGCAAATAAGAGTAGAAATAAAGGATAATCAAAAAATAATATTAAGATAAATACAAAGAAGAATGAGATTACACGAGAAAAGATTATTTAAGTGAAAAATAATATGGGAAAAAGAATACACACAAAGAAGGGTATAATCAGGAAACATATCAAAAAGGAAAATAGAAGATTTCAAAATACCATTAATGCAACAATAATTATTATTTTCATGGTAATGAGAATATGATCAAGCAAAAAAAAATTTTTTAAAAAATCAAATTCCTAAATTTGTAAAATTACATTTATAACTTGAAATCTTAAGAAAATAATCACGATGAAAGGGTTAAAATTGTACGCCTTTATTACATTAATGTGTAGAATTAAGAAAGAAAGACATCTTGAAATGTGGAAATTTTCTGATGCCTTTCTCATTCCAATTTAATAGATTTATACAAGATTATTTGGCTACAAGACAAATACATAAAATAATATTATTGTATGGTTGTCTATCCTAGTAATAGATAAGGTTCAAATTGCATAACAAACTATGTACTGTGATATATACAAAAATTAGAAACTTATAGAATGGAAATTGGTATAAGTTGAGTTTGGGCTGAATAGAATATTTGGGCCAAACTTGCTGCACTTCAAGTTCCTCTCAATACTCAACTGAGTCTTATTAGGCCCAAACCTCAATCTTTACCAAAAAAAACACAAAATCCTCCCTTTATTCATTCTCGTGAACATATATGTCATGTTCCTCTGTCCTTTGACCAAAAATTACAGATGGTAAGGATTCATTCTCAACACCCCACTTCAAGTTGGAGGGGAGTGAAGAAACCCCCAACTTGGAAAGAATCGAATTGTGAAGAGGGCCGGACAATGAATTGGTAAATATATCTGCTAATTGAGAAGAGGAGGGGACAAAATTGAGAGAAATCAGTCTATTCAGAAATTGTTGTCGGACGAAGTGACAATCCAAATCGACATGCTTCGTGTTGACACCCAATTTTGGCCCTCCACAATTTAGTTAATTTTCAAGCTTCTCAAATTTCAAACAATTTGAAATAATTATTTTCGTAAATCAAAATACTTTTAAAAAAAAATATATTTTTCAAGGCACTTTTGCCATTTTTCATATAGATTATATAATACTTAAAATATAGAGATTTATATAATTTTCAATTTGAATAAACATTTAGAAGGTCGCTTTTACTAAAAATAGGTTTCTAATTAAATATGCATTTTATTTCCTTAAAAATGATTAACTCACATATTGGTTTTTTGTGTCAAAATAATTGTTTTATGTTGCAAGAGTTGAGAAGCTTAATCTTTAATTAAATACGTAATTTACTTTTGCTTTTCAATTTATTTAAGATATGGTAAGAGGACCAGTTCCTTAACCCACTTATTTTTCCTCAGCTTTTTAATCCAATTTTTTGGCCCCAAAAAGCTTTAAACCAGCCCACACCCTTTATTCCACTATTTTCCTAATCCCCTTTACCTCACGCGCACACACACTCTTTTTGTTTCCTAGAAAGAACACACAGAACTCCCCTACGCGCCCCCTATCCCACCTCTTTCTTCTTATTCTTCCTCAGCGAAAGCAACCAAACGAACCCAACTTTAAATCCTCAGATTCACCGCCTCAATTTTCCTCTTTTCTCCTTCAATTCGTACTCTCCGCGTGCATAGCACTAGCTCGAAGACGCCTCAAGCTTCCAACATTGCTTTCCTCAACGGTAATACCCTTCTAATTTTCGATTTTCCTTTTTCAATTCCGTTCAGAATGGTACGAATTCGTACACTAACTAGTTGGCAATCCTTATCTGTTAAGGGATTTTGAAAATTCTCAAAATCCCACATCGAAAATCTTTCCAAATTTCGTGAGATTTTAGTAACTATAAATACCCTCTCCCTATAACTGTTCAAGGGGGGGCATTTTGAGACCTGAGAGTACCCCTAAAAAAGTTTGGGAATTCTCAACTCAATAGTTTAAAAATCTTGTGGTTGTTCGAGTTGAGGAGGTGGGAATCGTCTCTGTCAAACTCGTTGTTCGGTTCGCTGCCCAGAACCAGGTAATATTCTTGCGCTTTCTTTAGTCTTTTCTTTCTGTTGCATTGTGGAATTGTTGTTTGTTTTAGTATTGTTAATTATCTTTTAGATCCAATCTATTTAGTGTGATGTTTATGACAGTAAAAGTTTGCATGATCTTGTTAACTTAGTTAAGTCAATTTTGAATGAATGTATTAAGTTTGTTGCTCTGTTGATGGCTGTTAATTTAGAGATGTGAATGTGATTCTTTACTTAGTCGCATTCATATATCTATATATGTGCTTTAGTTATTATTATTCTTATTCGACTTTGTAATCCATGTTAATATAGTTGTCGATTTCTCTTCGTTGCCTTCTTAAAGATATAAGTTGTATATTCTTCCACTTCGAGTTTGTTTGGACTAAAATGTTACGTCAAGCTTCGCTGCTCCTAAGATGTGTTTTCGGCTAAATTCTTGTATAGTTTGAAACAAACAAATTACTGTTACTCCGACTAGCTTTTCGTTATTATCGTAGCATGTTTGTTCGAATCTCAGTTTTGGTGCAGTTGACTGTCGTTCATGTGATTAAAAGTTATTCTAGCTTAATTTGAAGCTCTTTTCCTTTCTTTCTCTCAAGTATGGACCTGTTTGTTACTTCCAAACAAAATAGATATAGCTGGGTCATATAGTCATTTGATTTAAGTGTATAATTTTCTAAGGTATGTTCTATTATGTGTGAAATTTGATTATTACCATTGAATTCTTGGTTCCTTTTTCCTGCATCTAGTCGCCCGTTTATGAAGTTGGAATATGAGTTCTCGATTACCTGTATGCTTTCGTTCATAACCTGTCGTAATAGCTACCTGTAGTTTTCTTAAGAACTAGGAATGATTTACATTTGTTCTTATGTCTGAGAATTCATATTACTTTTTCCTTCCAACAGTTTTATTGTTTCCAGGAGCGTATTTACCTGGCCAAAGGTCTCTTGTGTGCACTAAATTTTTGACTTAATCTTTTGTTTCTCTGTTTGCTGCTGTGATTTTTTAAAAAAATTTACAGCTAATTGTTAAATGGTCCCATTCCGTGTCTACTTGCTGATTTTTTATTATTTTTTATTTTTTCCTTAAATCCGTGACTAAAAGTTATGTTTATGTCTTTTCTTAGTTTGAACGTGGAAAAAATATGTTATGATTGGAAATTAATTGCCCTCTCTGTTAGCTTTCTCTTGTATTGGTCAGGGTTTGGCATATTTCTTATCTTTAAATTAATTTGATTATTTTGCTCAAGCTATACATATAGTGTCATTGTTTTATTTTGTTTTTGTGTCATCTTGTATCAGATTCTGTCCATTGCTAATAAATGTTGCATGATTTCCTTCCGTCAAATTGTTAAATTTCAATTTCTATGTTTGTCTTTTATTTTATTTATTTCTATGTTGGTTTAATTATTATGAGCTCTTGAAGTACTTTCCTTTAGTATTTTCGTATGTTAGATTAGAATGTTAATCTCCCTTTTTCTTTCTTTTCTTGCGCATGAACTCTCTCCGAATGAGACCAATGGACTCCTCTCTTTTGCATTTTTCCCTCTTGAGTCAACCTCCGTCGGAGTTGTGAAAGGGAAGCTAATATTAATGGGTTAATACTCAAATCAGTGGCAGCAGCAATTTGCAGCAGTAGCAGCAGCCCCCAAAGGGCTAAAAAATTGAAGTTTTGGACTTAAAGTCCCGTATAATAAAAATCAGCAGCAGCGATAGTATTCCAAAGGGCTGGAGATCTGAAAAATTGGACTTGAAAAGTCTCAATTTGAGTGCAGTTGTGGCGGCAGAACCAGAAAGGGGCCAAAGTGCCCTTTTTATCCAGTTCTTTATTTTATTTAGTTATCTACTCTATTTGTGAATATATGTTGATGATCGCTAACTTCTAACATTTATTTTATCTAACTTAGATGAATCCTTGAAAGTTTTTAAGTAACTCTTCTATTTCGTTAGTTATTTTTTTTAAGTATTTAAATTTTCAAAACTCTTTCAAGTTGGGCAACTTAAGCTCTTAGATTAACTTGAGAATTATCCATATTCTTTCATAGTTAATAATTAGCTTTGAATCTATGTTTATGAGTTTGAATTAACTATTTAGTTCAAATTTTGACTAGGATAGAGTTGTTAAGTTTTTCTTAAACTAAATTAGTTCTCTTTTAAAATAACTTAAGACTTTGTATGAATAACTTAAGGATTTTCTATATCCTTTCATAGTTGTTAAATAAGGTCCCTTGATCCATGTTGGTGAGTTAGAATTAATCGTATGATTCAAAACTTGACTATGGATAAAGTTTCAAGTTAGATTTATTTTTGAGAGTCTACAAGTTTCAAAAGATTTTTATTTAAGTTTCAAACAAGATTTTTATAAGTAACCTTTTTTTTTAAAAATAAAATTAGCCAAACTTTTCAATCCGTCGGTCAACCGTGTGTTAGCGGATTCTCTAAGATGCCTAAACCCTTCCTTAGAGAATTATTTGAACCCTTACCCGACTCTGGTTTTATTTAAAATGTTTTATTTCAAAAATCTCTTTTTAAATGTTTTCTTAATTTTTCCTAAAAAATTAAGTGGCAACTTCCAAATAACTCATTTTTCCAAAACTTAACAAAATTGCCAAAGTTGCGAAATTGATTCCGAAATCCTAGTTTTCAAAATCGGGTCGTTAACACTTTGTTCGCTCATGAAACACCGAGTTATGTGCAATGTGTAAGGCAGCTTGACTATCTGAATGGATCGGTATAGGCAAAGAAGAAGGTGCTGAAAGGTTTGAGAGAAGACGGTTTAGCCAAGTCAATTCAGCCACCACTTGACGATGGACAGGTATTCAGCCTCAGCAGAGGAGAGTGAGACAGAAATATGCTTCTTTGATTTCCATGAAATAGGAGATCCTCCAAGGCTAATGAAGTACCCACTAATAGATCGTCGGGAGTCCACGCAGGATGCCCAATCAGCTTCGCAAAACGCCAGTAAAGAGAAAGAATATTCTGGCTTCATGAGAATTCCCTGTCCAGGATGCAATCGCAAGTACCGCATACCCTTAAAGCAGCATTAAAATGAGGAATCTTGGGGCTTTGCATATACTGTGATAATTATTGGACAGCAAAACTCAGGTCGGGTCTTGTATGAGTAAGGTAATTTAGCTTCCCAATTAGCCTTCGATATGATGTAGGATCAACTAGTAAATCACCTGCATCTGCAGAAAGTTTTGTTGATGGATCTAGAGGAGAAGAAACGGGCATCAAATGGTCACAATTGAACTTGGAAAGGAGCTCAAGAGTGAACTTTCTCTGGCTGTTCATGAGACCATGAGCTTCATACACAATTTCAAGACCAAGAAAATTAAAAATGTAAGTCCCCTAAATCCTTGATTTGAAATTCACCATGCAGGAAATCTTTAAGCTTTGTCAATTCTGCTTTATCATTGCCTGTTAGAATTATATCATTGACATAGACCCCCCCCCCCCCCAAAACAGAAATAGAGTCTCCTGAATGCTTGAAAAACAAGGATAGTCATTTAAAGATGATGAATATCCTTTGAAATGCAAGGCTGCTGCAAGCCATGCATACCCACTATCTAGAGGCTTGCCTCAAGCCATACAGTAATTTTTTTAGTTTGCAAACCTGTCCATTTTAAGGTGTCTTCAGTCCAGGAAGTACCTTCATCTAGACCTCTTCTTGCAAGTCCCCATGTAAGAAAGCATTGTTGACATCCAGTTGAGAGAGTCTCCATCCCTTTTTAACTGCAATAGCCAAAATGCACCTGATTGTTGTCATTTTTACAATGGGTGAATAGGTTCATTAAAATCAATGCTTGCTCTTTGTATATCTCCTCTTACTACGAGTCTTGCCTTGAGCCTTTGAATGGTCCCATCTGATCTTTGCTTGACTTTAAAAACCATTTGCAAGGCAAAGCTCTCTTACCAACTGGTAAATCCACCAAATCCCATGTCTGATTAGATTGAAGTGCCTCAACTTCAGTTTCAATAGCCTTCTCCCAACCAGGGTGTAAAATAGTTTGTTCAAAACATGTAGGCTCAGTGATAAAAGAGATAGAATTGAGCAGTCTTTGATTAGAATTAAATAAACTAGTAAAAAGATAAGTAGGAGAGTTTAAAATAGAGGCAAAACAAGTAGAGTTCACATCAGTTAGATAAACAGAGTTGCAAATATAATCATCTAGATATGTAGAAGTCTTATGGACCCTCTCTGATCTTCTGGAAGCAGGAGCAAGAGATGTGTCTATAGGATCAGGCAAGTCAACAACATAATTGTGAGGTAAGATATCAGGCTGTTGAGAAACTAAGGCTTCACCAAGAGAATGTTGAATAGGACTAGGAGGCATATGATTGAAAGGACCAAGGGAAATAGGTTGTTGAATGATGATATGATCATCAGTGACCTCATCTTGCATAGATGAGGGAAAAGAATGAGGAATAGAAGGAATATGTGCACTGGAAGAGAAAGGATATGTTTGTTCATGAAAATGAACATCCCTTAAGACATAGATTCTTCTTGATTTCAACTCTATGAGCTTGTATCCTTTCTTTCCGAGTGGATACCCTAGAAAGACATAAAGTACTGCTCTTGGTTCAAGCTCCACCCTATTATGAGAAAGAGTCGAGGCAAAACATAAACAACCAAAACACTTAAAGAAGTCATATCTAGGAACTTTACCAAATATGAGTTCATAAGGAGTTTTTCCATCCAAAACAGAAGAAGGAAATCTGTTAATTAGAAATGCGGCAGTTAGAAGACACTCACCCCAATAACATATAGGGAGTTTAAATTGGTGTAGAAGGGCTCTAGATGTTTCCAGAAGGTGTTTGTGTTTCCTTTCAACAATACCATTCTGTTGAGGGGTGGCAATGCATGAAGTTTGATGAATTATTCCTTCAGAAGCAAAAAATTCAGAGATAGTTGTCCCCCCACCTAGTTCTAAAGCATTGTCAGATCTAATGCATTTGACCTTAACTCCAAATTGTCTATCAATCATAGCCATGAAATATTTCAGCATTGGGAATGCATTACTTTTAGCACTTAAAAGATAAGTCCAGGTCCCCCTACTTAAATCATCTACAATAGTAAGGAAATATCTATAACCATTGTAGGTTGGAGATTTGTAAGGACCTCATGTATCAATATGAATCAAGTCAAAGATACATTTTGCTTTAATAGAACTCACAGGAAAAGGTAACTTGGTTTGCCTTGCCAATGGACAAATTTCACAAGCCCAATTAACAAAATTTGAAGGAGAAATGAAATTGAACTTTTTCATAAATGTAAAAGGCATATGTCTCAACCTAACATGCCATAAGTTTACACTAGATTGGGAACTTACAGGAATCGAAAAAACACTAAAAATTAAAATACATTGTTTAGGCAAAATACTAGAGAAACTAGACTTAAAGAAACTCTTGGAATGGTTGATAGAAGAATTCAAAATATAGACTCCATCCTTAGCTTCACCAAGAACCAGAGGGGTCTTCACTGAAGGGTCCTGCAGAAAACAATGGTGATAAAAAAAGTTTAGACTGCATAAAAATTGCCTGCAAAACTTGTGAACAGAAATCAGATTTATCCTGAAAGATGGACAAATAGGACATTTTGTAGGATTAAATCTAGAAAGAGTGTCACAGTCCCTATATGTGTAACTTTGACCCTGAATGAATTAGGTAAATTAATATATAATGGTGAACTTAACGCAATGAGTTTAATGAAAAATTTATGATGAAATGACATATGTTCAGAGGCTCCTGAATCAATTATCCAAGAGAAAGAGTTGGCATAAGTGAAATAAGCTACTAGATCATTAAATATGTTACCAGCACATTGAACAAGATTTGCATTGACATTTGATGTTGAACCACCCTGACCAACACCTTGCATATTCTGGAAAAATTGCATGAGATGCATCATTTGATCTTGAGAAATAGAGCTTCTTCCTCCCTGATATCCCTCATTGCTTGTTTGTCCAGAAGCTGTGACAACTGCATTAGATTTGACAAGACCTTGAGTTTTACTGGACTTGGTAAACTTGGAATCAGATGGAAACTTATGATTCTGTAGTATTTATCTATAGTGTGTCCTGGTTTTTTACAGTTTGAGCACATCAGATTGTTTTTCTTACCCTTACAATCAGAGTTAGGAGACATCTGCCCCATAGGGTAGTGTTGTGCTGCCAAGAAAGACATAGAGTTACCAGGAAATTTAGTGTTCATGGAGCTTTCTCTTTGCCTCTCATCTTGCATCAACAGATAATAAGCAAGGTTGACACTGGGCAGAGGTGTCATCATCAGAATGTTGCTTCTTCTTAGGGCATACACATCAGTCAGTCCCATAAGGAAGTGAACTAACCTCTCATCCTGCAATGACTTGTTCATCTTTTATTTTCCTCCACAGCTGCAGTTGCAAGAACAGGTCACTTTTGAGTACAAAGGGTCAAGTTCATCCCACGTCTTCTTCATTTTGGTGTAATAACCTGCAATATCTGATGAACCTTGCACTAAATCAGCAAGTTGTTTTTGCAGGTGATAGAGCATTGCTCCATTAAGCTGACCAAACCTATCCTCAAGGTCTTTCCAGAGTTCCTTGGCAGATTTAGAATAGATCACACTCCCAGCTATCTCTTTTGAGAGGGAGTTCAATAGCCAAGAAGTGACTATGTCATTACACCTACTCCATAGCTTGAAATCAGTTGATTCTGGAGCAGGGACAAGAGAAGAACCTTCAATGTATCCCAACTTATTTTTGGCTGAGAGAGCTATGAGCATGGATCTTCTCCATGCCCCATAGCCATTTCCATCTAAGGTGGTGTGGACAAGAGTCATCCCTGGTGAATCTGAAGCATGAAGAAAAAAAGGGTTGGTTTGATCTATCACCACAGAGCCTCCATTCCTAGAGGTTGCTGCAACTGTAGCAGTGGTGTTATCCTCTGTTTCAACCATTTGGATTGAAGGGAAGTGAAAGTGAAGAAGGATGAAAGGATTTGGTTGTGAGCTCTACCTTTGCTCTGATACCATGTAGAATTATGAAAGAAGGAAATCTTGAAATGTGGAAATTTTCTGATGCCTTTCTCATTCCAATTTAATATATTTATACAAGATTATTTGGCTACAAGACAAATACATAAAAGAATATTATTGTACGGTTGTCTATCCTAGTAATGGATAAGTTTCAAATTGCATAACAAACTATGTACTGTGATAGAGAAAATGACATAAATGGTCCCTAAACCATCACAGTAGGTCTAAAATAGTTCCAAAACTATACACTTAACGAAAATAGTCCCTTAACTATCTACAATCTTGTCATGTTTGATCTGTATCTACTTTTTATAGACACCGTTAACAAACTTCGTAATTCAGATACTCTCTCTTGATTTTCTTTTTCCCTCTTCTTTTCTTCATTGACACTGCTATAGTAAAGAAAAACTTGTCAAGTTTGGTGTTGTTTTTATGCAGTTTGGGGTAGCTTGGTGATGTTTTTTGGTGCAGTTTTTGTGTAGTTTGGCGCAGTTTCTATGCTAGTTTTTGTGCAGTTTGCAGCGAATTTTTGGTGCTCGAGTGCTTTTGGTGCAATTTTTTCGTAGTCTGATGTAGTAGTTTGGTATTGATATTTTAATGGTTTGATGTTGCTATCTAGTGTTGTGTTATGTACAGTTTCATGTTGATTTTTTGGTGTTTTAGAGCTGCAATTTGATTCAACTCAAATAAAATAATGACCAACACACAATTACAGTAAGACATTGAAGAAAAGAATTGGACAAAATAAAGTGAAGAAATAGTGAGATAATAGAGGAAAGAAGTGGACAAAAAAAGTCAGGAGATAGAGATTAAATTAGAATAACTAAGTTTTTTTATTTATAAAAAGTAGATATAGACCAAACTTGACAAGATTGTAGATAGTTAAAGGACTATATTCATTAATTGTATAGTTAAGGGACTATTTTAGACCTACTATAATAGTTTAAGGACCATTTATGTCATTTACTCTACTGTGATATATACAAAAATTAGAAACTGCTAGAATGGAAATTGGTATAAGCTGAATTTGGGCTGAATAGAATATTTGGGCCAAACTTGCTGCACTTCAAGTTCCTCTCAATACTCAACTAAGTCTAATTAGGCCCAAACCTCAATCTTTACCAAACAAACACAAAATGCTCCCTTTACTCATTCTCTTGAACATATATGTCATGTTCCTCTGTCCTTTGATCAAAAATTACAGATGGTAAGGATTCATTCTCAACATAATGAAATCGTGCGAGGCGTGGATAAATTCACGAGTTATAAATAAAAATGAAGTCAATCTTAGAAAAGTTTTGAATCTTTTGAAATAGACCCTTCGAATCTGAGGACAAGCAAAATTTATTGATAATTTTTCAAAAAATCCATGTATAGATTGAAAGCTCTAATAATCAATTGGTATTTCAGAACCTCGCAAAACGCACACATACACACTGCATTCCAACTTAATGTCCCCTTCGTCCATTTTACGTGTCATCATTTAATTTGATATGATATTTTTAAAATTTATAGTCTAAAATCATATAATTATAAATTATTTTAGGAAAAGAAAATAAAAATTAAATTATTTTTAATTATATATTTGATCAAAGAAATCTTTACCCCTATCATCAAAAAACAATTGGCAAAAATTTCATCACAATCATTATCAGAAGAAAGGAGTATAGAGTTGTCGTGTATCTTGATGCTCCTCATTCATCTTTGTCATAACTCACCAAACTCCGACACACCTCCTTACCCTACCCCGCACCCACTCCCTCTTCTTTTCTCCTTGAAATAGGGAAAAGCAACTGATCAATCTCCCATTTGTTGCCATGATGACACTATAAACAGGTTCAAGCTTGATTCTTTAACTACACCAGATGATTTTACTTTCCTTTGAATTCTATTAGTATCTTGGTATTTTTCAAATGGTTTTTCTTTATCTCAACTGGGTTGTGCTCTTTTTCTTCTTTTTTTCTCTGAGATAAAAATTGGGTCTTTGATGCTTAGTCTTGGGTATGAGTTAAAAAAATTGGACCTTTGATGCTTTAGTTTTCCAAATTAATTGATTATGACTTAATTGGTTTTTGACAAACTTGATTTGATGGTTATAGTAGCAGATATTTAGTCAAAGAGAAAAAGGGTGTGTAGATAACAAATTGTGGCTATTGAAGATAAAGGTATAGTCTTTTTGCTCTGTACACTGTTATTGTAGTTAACTTTGTTGTGTTGGAATTATATTTTGTTTGTGATGATCTCAGAGTATCACAGTTTTTGAGAAAACTGACTGTGTATAGAATCTTGATCATCAAATGGCTGAGGTGATTGGACCTAGATTGTACAGTTGCTGCAATTGTAAGAATGAAGTTGCACTTCATGATGACATTATTTCTAAGGCTTTTCAGGTTAGAATATGTGGGATTCTTTTCATTTTCTTTGAATTGTATGAACGTGGATAGTTTACGACTAGCAAGTAAGCACTCCAACTTTGAGAGTGTACATCTAAACACATCAACTTGGTCTCAATTGACAACTAAATACTCCAAATCGTCCCTATCGTGTCTCGTGGACATCCAACACTGATGTGTCACATGATTTGGAGGTGTCTAGATGATCATTGTGTAAGTTGGAGTGTTCAATTTACATAGTGAAGATGAATTGAGGTGTCTAGATGTGTATACTCAAATTTACTTGCCATCTGAGGCCAGTGTATGTTTGTTTATGTATTATGTCTTGATTAAACGTATGATCATTGTATGCTGTTTTTGCTTAGAGGTTCCTGATACAAAAAGGTTGTCAGTAGTTTTTGAGTTAGTCAGTGCCACAAATGTTCACAATATCAAAGATAACAGTGTGTTATCAATGGCGAAACACACAAAAAGATCCAAGGACCATTGGGCTTTAACGAAAAAAAGGTGCAAATAGATTCCATTATGTATGTGTATTCCAAGATAACGAATATAAGCATGAATATAACACATATATGGACAAAGAAACTGAAAAAAAAAGGATAAAGTAACATATCAATGGTTTAGTGTTGGCACTTAGCTCTTCAGGTTTATGCTGACTGAGGTGAAGCCCTCAAGATTTTTGTGCTTCACTTCAGAGCTCAAGTGCACGTTTAGCACGCCTTTGATAATGTTGCACCAATTTCTATTCTTCTCTTATAGCAAAAGGCAATGATCTCACCATGAATTCAAGAAAATTGGCTCCTCTGCTATTGAAATGAGCATATATATATGTTTGTATTTCAGTTACATACCGAAAAGGAAACAAGTTGGAAAGATGTAGCTCAATGAGGAATACATCTTGGTCTTTTCTATATAAGATTTTCTGTTTTTTTTTTATCTATTTCTGGGCAAGATCTATCCTTTTGTTTACTTAAGATATTACCAGTAATATATTCTTGCCTAATTGACATTAGGGAAGAAATGGTCGAGCATTTTTGTTCTCTCACGCAATGAACATAGTCGTGGGACCAAAAGAGGATAGGCATCTCATGACTGGTCTCCATACAGTTGCTGATGTCCATTGCTGCGACTGTCGTGAGGTGCTTGGCTGGAAATATGAACGAGCATATGAAGAGGCACAGAAGTACAAGGAAGGAAAGTTCGTACTTGAGAAATCAAAGATTGTCAAGGAAAACTGGTAGTAGTCCACTCTGAATTCTATGAAAGTGTGTGGATGCTCCTATGTACGTACTATGCTGTTAGATCAAATTCTCATCAATTCAAAATGTCGATTCATTGCTTATTACTGTATAAATTTCTTATGTTTGTTGTTCGATTGGATTGGATATGTTGAACAATCTTGTGAATAATCTATCTCCAAAATCATAATTTGTAAATACCACAACAACAACAATAAACATACCTTAGCCCTACCTTTGTTGGGTAGAGAGGCTGTTTCCGATAGATTATGATATTTGCTTTACTTGGTTTCTGCTATGGAGTAACTGGATTCTTCGTCTTGGATAACACATTCATCTGACAAGTCAGCACTGAATTATTCATCTGCAATCTTGTTTTTGCTCCATTTTTTAGTGGGCTTCCATGAGAAGCTATCAAGTAATATGATGTATTGTAAATGGGGAAGACACAACTTGGAAGATGACATAGCTGGAGTAATGAGAAGTCCATTGAATTGACCATATGACACGATAAAGATGTTTGATAATGTATCTGGAATTGTTGAACCTATACTCTGATAGATGTAGCAGTTCAAGTTTGGTATGAATTTGTTATTTTGCTTCACTTATTCAAGTTGAGTAATCAAACAATGATTTCTCCAAACAATATATTTGGCTGTTAAGCTTGATGCTGTCTGGTTGCTTCTTGATGTACAATGAGGAAGTGTGAAGGAACGACGTTAACGTGGTTTATTAGGATCACGTGAACTCATAGGTTACTTAGTAGATCCGTCCCCCGCTACTAAGGTTACTCAGTAATCATCCTCTCGAACCAGCTACTGATCATCGGCTTGGTAATCAGACGCGAGCCCCTTAGCAGTCATTTTCAGTTGTTGTTCTCCTCCCAACGGCAGGTTCTTATGCATTTCTCACTCGTCCGCCACTAGAAACACCATTTTCCATCCGACTTGCATGTGTTAATCATGCCACCAACATTCAATCCTGAGTCAGGATCGAACTCTCCATGAGATTCATAGTTGCATTACTTCGAGATTGTCTTTCACATTTGGCATAAGTTCAAGTTGAACTTGTTCAATCAGATAAACAAAGTGAAAAATGATATTCTGCCACATCATTAAAAAACTCATCTGATTTTGGAAGTCACAACTCATAATATTACTAACAAAAGGATATTAGTAGAAGTCGTCAAATTTGAGTTTAACAAGGGTTTCGTGGTGTAGTTGGTTATCACGTCAGTCTAACACACTGAAGGTCTCCGGTTCGAGTCCGGGCGAAGCCATTCTTTTGCTTGCTTTTTTGCCCACGTGGTCTTTACATTACGTTATAACTATTTATCTCTCCTCCTTTTTTTGTCATCTTTGCATAGTATATAAGACAGATTAGGCAATTGGTTTAATGCTTCTATAATGTTGAAACACCAAAGAACCCAAGTTAGTAAAGGCATGAAGAAATTCACAAGCAGACATTACTGTTGGCTCTGCCTTCTTGACCCAAAAATACAGGAAAAACAAGTTTCTTTACAATTGTGTACTGAATGTGCTACCACAAGTATAATCCCATTCGCTTATTTATTTGTTGTCACAGAAACAATAGAACAGTATAGGGAACAATTTTTCTATTGAATTCTATTGCTAACTACTCTGATGAGTTACAAACATTATAGCAGGAAAATTTTCTAGTGCATGACTTCTAAAGTTCTCTTGAGCTCAACTCGATAAAAAGGCTGGCCTGAGGATGTAATCCAGCATCTTTCAGGGACAAACTGAGCTTCTCTGCGCCATATGCAGTGCGAGGGAAGTTGGATACAAGACTGTAGTTGTCAACCGCTAGGCATCCTAGAGAATTGACATAGTCATACAAGGATTGTAATGTTGTAGTACAATGAAATCTCCTCTCCTTGCGTTCTCCAGTAGGAAACCGTACCAAAACCTGAATGATCCAAATTAAACAACAAATTAGTTAAGACAACAGTATGAACACCTTTCTGTTCACTGAGGGATTCAGTTTCAGTTTTGCACTTTGTCCCCCCTCCCTCCCTCGAGTTATATGCATTTAACATGAACTTTCTGCTCAACCTTAAGCCAGTTCTACATACTTTCCAACCTTAAGCACTATAATCTTTTCTATTCAAAATCTTTGCAAATCAAATCACTCAACACCTGAAATCAACGAGACTCCATAGAAAACACTCTAGCTCCATGAATCTGTTCTTTGGAGCTAGAACATCCAATAGAATGAAACGAGATATTGGTAAGCAACAGCGGAGCATCAAGAAATAAGATCAGGCTTGAGCAGTTATGTTTCAATCTTACCGGAAAACCACGTCTTTCACCAAAATTTGTGAAAAAAAGGCAGCCCGGTGCACAAAGCATCCTGCTTAAGCAAGGTACGGGAAAGGGTCGCACCCCAAGGGGTGTAATATAGACAACCTACCCTAATGCAAACATTAGTGGCTGCTTCCACGGCTCAAACCCATGACCTATAGGTCAAATAGATACAGCTTTACTAATGCTGCAAGGATCCCCTTCTTCACCAAAATCTGTAATAATGACTATTTTTTTGGTACAATGAAAACCAAGAGAAACATGATTACCTGGGTAACATCAGGACCCTTCTCAGGTTCAGGGCCCAATGACAATAGTTTCTCCTGGCGTATTTTAACTAATGCAGCTTCTCTTTCAGCAGCTTCATGTGCTGCTCTTTCCCGGGCCTCTTCTTCCTCCTTTCTTTTCCTTTCAGCTTCAGCAGCTTCCCTCTCCAGCCTCTCTTGCTCTTCTATCCTCTGGCACTCTCTAGCCTAGTTAAGGGCAAACAGTTGATCAATGTAAAGCTTTTTCCCCTTCACAAAGTAACTTGAAGAGAGGAAAGGCATATTTGGAACCTAAAAGCACTTACTTGATCAGCTTCTAGTGCAGCACGATAAGCAGCATCTTGCTCCTCCCTCAAACGTATATTGTTTCTTCTTTCTTCTGCCTCAACCCTGGCTGTGACAAGCACAGGGGCACTTTCCTCGATCACTCTTTGCAGTACTGTAAGCATTTCTTCGGGAGATTTTGGCCCTTCCGCCTACAGAGTGTTGTTCACCAAAATAAGTACACAAGTTAACGGGCTAGTAGAAGATTCAATGAAGCAAGTTCATTTTTCTACATACACAAATCATTGAGACAAGTGTGCTTCCTTCAGAAAATAGTAGTACCAACTATAGTATGACAGATCTAGGTTGCCCTTTTCTTTTTGTGTGGGACTCTTTACCTTTTTGTGTGTGACTCTTATGTGGCAAATATAGCATCAATTGGTTTTTAACACATCAGGCCACAAGCCTAATAGCATTCTGTAGCTAGCTAGCAAAAGGGCAAAAAGTGGAACAAACACAAAACAAGGAAGCATATGCACTCGCACATAGAATAGATTAGTGAAATACACGCAAACATGAGTCAACAGTTACAAAGTGCTAAATCATGTAATCTTTTTCGAAGTAACAGTGAAAGGGGAGAGGCAGAAAAGATAACCCCCCCCCCCTTTTTTAGCATCGTGAACTCTTTCCAATTGACAGAGAACAAGGCAGCCAGCCATTCGATCCCAAGAAAACAATTATATTCCAGACTAGAACATTCACTTGCTTACACAGGATTATAATACTCAACCTACAGAAAAAGGAACACAAACATGCTTAAGGGCATGAATGAAAAACAGCTAATATCATGAGAATATACATTTTGCTCAATGAACTTGTACAGAAAATCCATCAATGAGGAATCTTAGAGCAGCAGCATAATCTTTGGTCTGTCTATTATTATTTACCATAATGGGCAGACTCCTTTTCATAGGCTATACACAACAAAACAGAAAACATCAAGGTTTATGGGAAAATGTCTGGAAAAACATTGCACCAACAAAAATAAAATGTTTCACATGGTTGGTTGTTAGAAAAGCTTGCTTGACACGAGAGGTTTTGAAGAAAAGAGGAGAATTGTAGTATCTACATGTCAACTTTGTGGGGAAGTAGATGAGACAAATAGTCATCTTTTCTGGCACTGCAAATGCAAATTCACTGCTCAGTTATGGAATTTATTTCTTACCCTTACAGACACAAAATGGACCATGCCTGAGCACACTGCAGATCTACTCAGCTGCTGGATTAGGAGAGGTGGAAGCAAGAGCCAGAAGAGATGGTGGAAAATCATTCCACATTGCATCTGGTGGACTGTGTGGAGAGAGAGAAATAGCAGACGTTTGAAGATAAGTCCAATTCCATTCATAGAGTTAAATGGCATTGTATTGTATCTTTATTTTTTTGGTGTAAACAAACAAACATAGAGGAATTAGAGCTTGTAGATCTGTTAGGCTCTCTGTAAGTAGTTTCTCCCTTTCTCTCTTTTTTTGTTTGTTTTGTCCCCTTTTGAAGGTCCTCCAGCTATGTTGCTCGGACTCTTCTAAAATGTCAAGGGGTGCGTGTCGGATTCATCAAAAGTAGTGTATTTTTGGAGAATCTGACACGGGTGCGGTATCAAAAGTGAAGAGTCCGCACAACTTAGGTCTCCACTCTCCAGCATTATATGCTGAGGAATACAACATTACCCGTTTCAAAAAAAAATAAAAAATACCTCAGCAATGAGGAATATGACATGCACAACTTTCCAATAAACAATGAGGTCACTTTTAACAATTCATGCACAACTGATCCCTACAAAACTATTAACTAATCCTGCATTACTAGTCCCAGTGAAACTAATCCCTATCTAACTTTTCTTTTAACCAAACAACCCCTTAAGGTTGAAATGTTTGCTAACCATATTCAGGAGAACTGAAATGGAATCCAATAACTTTTTAGGGCACATAACAATGGCCAAACTAACCTTTCAGAAAGAGTGGATACTCTTGGGGCAGAAGAAGACGGAAGGAAAGACACTAATAGAAGCAATTTCAATTAATTGAAAGATATAAATATTGTATAGTGGATGGACATCTTTTATCAAATTAATCGCAATTGCCTCTAGTAACAAACCGAGAATATTTTTTTGAAAATGTCAACAAACCGAGAATATGTTTTACAAGTGTGTGATGTTTGCTCCTTATCAAAAGAAAAACAGTGTGATGTTTTGCCTAGCATGCTGATTCTTCGGTCTTCGGACTCGTTTAGCCACAGATATTCTCAAAAATATTTGGAAAAAAACTTGGCAAATATTGTTTGGCCATACAACTTGCCATTATTTGGCAAATATTTTTGGCAAACAATCCAAATTCACAAATACTAGAAAAAACTAGTATTTGGGCCAAATTCTATTATTTGGAAACTTTTAAAAGCTTGAAAATTACCCCATACTTTTATATTTTATATGAACACCCATCATTTATAATTTTGGACTGAATTTCCGACCTAGTTCATTGTAAAAAATTTATACAGTTATTTACATATTTTATACAGTTTTTATCCGAGCTTGCTCTCTGAAGTCACTTTCAATTACAAGTGGTAATAGTAGTTTTTCGTATATAGATCAATGGTATTTTCCTGTTATT